TATTTATTTATTTATTTGTAGGTTAAAATGAAATTGTACCATAAAAGATCAAATTTTAATCGCAATTTTTTTTATCTTTTTTACTTTTACTAGGCCAAAATAGTTTCACTCCTAACCATCCTAGAGATTAGAAAGAATCAACTCAGATCAAATCGTTTTGAACTGATCTTAAATTAAAATTATATGGGCTCGAAATTAAATCATTCACAGTCCTATTTGATCAAATCGTTTTGAAATAGATGGTGATATTATCAATAGAATTCAAGTTGGATGGTTGAAGTGGACGAATGCATTGGGCTTGTTGTGCGATAGAAAAGTCCCCCTCAAATTTAAGGGAAAATTCTATAAGATCGTGGTGAGACTTGCAATGCTTTATGATGACGAATGTTGGCCATTAAAAGAGAAGCATAAAACTAAATTAAGTGTTGAATAGATGAGGATATTTAGGTGGATGAGCGGCTTTACCCTTAGAGATAGGATACGAAATGAGCATATACGTGAAAAGATTAGAGTTGCTCCATTAGAAGATAAAATTAGAGAGAGTCAGCTTCGATGGTTTGGTCACATTAAACAGAGGCCTTCCGATGACCTAATTAGGAAAGTTGAGGTATTAGATTTGACTTATGTTAAGAAATGTTGAGGTAGAACAAAATATTTTTGTTAGAAAATATTAGAAATGATCTTTCTTTATTAAATCTAAATGAGAATTTGATTTTTAACATGACACAATGGCGAAAAAGAATTCATATAGCAGATCCAACGTAGTGGGACAAAGGCTTGATATTGGTGTTTGTTGTTGTTATACGGTCCTATTTTTTACTTGATAATTGACAATTGATATCAAGGGTCAACTTTTGTTTTACCACGTTAGTAGAGTTCGAGATTCTAAATTTAATTAAAATAAATAAATTATATAGTTCATTAATAAAATCTTTTTTTTTAATAAATTAAATAATTAAAACTTGTATTTTTGCCACTCGCCTGAGAGAGTCCTCGGCGGCAAAGGAGATATCTTGAAAGCCGACACTTCTCGCATACGCGACCATTTCCCTTGCAATCGCCACCACCTCATCTGCGTTCTTCTTCAGCTTATGCCGCATATGAATCTCGCTCGTTGCAATAAAGGTAGCAATCCTCGGCCGCAGAGCGCCGCTCACCGCCGCCCACGCCGCATCAATATCTCTCTTTGATGTGCGCGCCACGACGACGATGATCGGCACATGGCCTCCCAATCTTCCACCATGTTGCACATTCCCAACCTCATCGGCGATAGATTTAACGGCATTGAAATCCTCCGGCGAGGAAACCGGGAAGCCGGCGTCGATGACGTCGACGCCGAGGAGGACGAGGTTTCGGGCGATGACGATCTTCTGCTCGGCGGTCATGGCGGCGCCAGGTGCTTGCTCGCCGTCGCGGAGGGTGGTGTCAAGAATGCGAACGTAGTAAGGGTCATTGATAGAGTGGAAAGTGGAGGGAGGGCGGCCGGCAGTGACTGTGGAGGCCGGAAGAAAAGCCATTACTGGAGGAGGAGGAGGAGGAGGAGGGGACTTGAAGTTCGTGGCGTAGTTTAAGATTGGCTGCCATCCTATATATTTTATCCAGGATGGTAACAGTTCCCATTGGATGGATTTATTTTTAAATATATATATTAACAAAATAAATCGATATTGGGCGAGTGGTAGGTAGGCTTATATTATATTAACATTAAGTTGGGTGCTAAATAAAAAAAATAAATCGATTTGTATAAACATATATTATATTATATTAATATTAAATAAATATTGAATATTATAATTCAAAAAATGAAAAAAAAGGATTTTGCATTTTAATTAAAATACAAAATCATTTCGCAATTTAATTAAAAGGCTAAATTATGTTGCGATTAATGTTGCATGTTTGATCTTTTTTAACTATATCGTAAAAAATTCGAACGTGTTACCTACCAATCTCTTATTTATCTTTTTTGGTAAGTTATTGACGACACCAAGATGGACTTCCAACCCCATCAGTCGAGTAATTATTACATCCAGAGAAAAAACATGAAATTCAGACGTATACCGAGTAATACCGAGTGCTCAATATCAAATTT